ACCCCAGGAGTGACCGGCAGGACCATCCTGGGTGCCGCCCCCGGGAGTGGGACTCTCTAGCTCACGAAGAGGCAGTGCCTGTTAGGACTGATCAATTGCTCTGGGAGCAAACGGTCTTTCCTCGTCCTCCTGTGGGCAGAGGGGATCCGTGGTGACTCACCAGCCAGGCGGGGCCAGGAGGATGCCGGGCTGATAATGAAGATGTGTGGGCCTCCTGGACTTGCAGCACCGCACACCTCGCCCCAGGGGCTGCTTGGCCTCTTGGGCTCCTCATGCTTCCCGCTGGGTGGCGACAATGATGCGGGCGTGGTGTCCTGTGCGGACCGGGAGAGCCAGGTTTGCCTCGGTGAGCCCCCTGCCTCAGTTTCACTGTGTCCCCCACAATCCCCTCACTGGCCTCTCCATTTCTGATAGAACTGCCTGTAGCAGCAAAGAGCTGCTTTTGCCACTGAAATTACCCCCATGGGCAGGACAAAAGAGCCCCCCCTTCCCTTTCTGCAATAATGCTAATATCCTCCCCCCATTTCCCACTTATACCCTTTAATTTCCAAACAGAAGTGGATGCACTTTTCCTAAAGACAAATGGACACTGAGAATCTGTATAGCTGGAGCGGAGGACAGGGGTCCCTCACAGCAGATCATAACAGGCTGCAGGCCTTTCTCCTGGGGCGACTGTGGAATCCTATCAGAGGTGAGTGGGCTAAGGTGGGCGGGGGTAGGGGGGCAGGGGAGGAGCACAGCTCGCATTTTATCTTCTGTTTCCTCTTCCAAGCGTCAAGTCAGCGGTTCTCAACCTGTGGGTCGCGACCCCTTTGGCGGTCGAACGACCCTTTCACAGGGGTCGCCTAAGACCATCCTGCATATCAGATATTTACATGACGATTCATAACAGTAGCAACATGACAGTTATGAAGTAGCCACAAAAATAATTTTATGGTTGGGTCACAACATGAGGAACTGTATTTAAAGGGCCAGAAGGTTGAGAACCACTGCTTTAAGTCAATTTTAATGCAAAGCTGAAAACAGGAACTTTACACCCAATACTTTTTACCAGGTTAGCTGTATAAATAACAGTCCACGTACCTGCCATTTAATTGTCTGTTGGTTGGTTGATTGATTGATTCATTCATTCACGTGTTCATCAAGCATCCTTGAGCACTTCTTGCCCACACCAGGCCGGGCACCGGCGAGAAAACAGAGAATTGATCTCCCTCGAGCTTATGGCGGCCCATCCTCTCCAGCCCGTTTGCTCCGGTCTTTCCCTGAGATGCGGTGGAGGCACTCACCTGTCAGACGTTAGCTCTTTAAGGGAACACGATTGTTTTTAAAGCTTTCGATCCCTGACTGGATTTCTTGCAGTTTATAACTCCTGTGCTGACGTGACTGGTGGGATGTCTGGTCTGACACATTTGCTCATATCAGGTAGGTGTGGGGGAGGCTCACAAGTTCATGGGCAAGGTTAGATTTTGAAGGTGCCCAACAGCATGGAAAGATCAGGCAGTATTTAATCAACAAATTCAGCCACCATGGTTATTCCCACGAACTCCACACTCACCTCATTCGGTTCGAGTTGCATGATTGATTCTGGGTAATTAAACGCCTAATTATGACCAACACTTGCAGATCTAATTAAGGCCCAAACACTGGCCCCATAACCATGGTCTCATTCAGGTGAGCTCTGAGGGAACTTGGATGTCTGGGGGGGGGGGGGGGAGGGGGGCATTAGGGGTCTCCAGGTGGGGCTGGGCAGAGCGCCCCCAGGTGGGGGCTACAGGATGACCTCAAGTGTGGCTGCTTGTTCCTTTAGGGGTGGGGTTTCTCTAACCATAAATATAAAGGAAAATAACACCGTCTGCTTGGAGGTTAGAAATGTGTCCTGTTCCACTGGCCCCGGGTGCTGTGTTCAACATGCACAGCCTTTCACCTGAGACCTGGTCTGACCTCTGAGCCGCGGGCCATCCGTGTTGCTTGGTGGTCCGGCCTGAGGCGGTCCCTGCAAGGACCACATGAAGCCGACATTATATGGGAGCCCCTCCTCAGGAGTTCGAGGATCCCAGCAGCGGGCTGTGGAGATAAGTCTCAGCTGCTCTAATTTATAGGGTTGGCCCTGGGCCTCCACACCTGTGATCAGTAACTCTTGGAAGGTTTAGAAAAAAAACGGGGGGTGGGGGGCCCGTCTTGATGGTAGAGGAGGCCAGTGCAGGGGGCGCCGCTGCGGGAGGCTGGCTGGGACTCCGGACGCCTCCCAGGGGTCCCACTCAGGATGGATGGGCTTGTCCGAGGGGAGCGGCGATATGTAAACGGGAGGAGCATTTCTGTGGGTTCCTTCCCAACCGGTAAACTGTGGTCAGCACCCCACATCCATCAGGCTGGGGGCAGCCGTGGCCGTGGAGCCAGCGGGGGTTTCCTTAGTGCCAGGCACCGTGTGCCCCTCTGCCAGCCACTTCCTCCGGGTCTGTTAGCACCCGAGGGGCACACATCAGCTACTCAACAGGCATCTCTGGGCACCGGCCAGCAGCAGAGAGAACAGGCAGGTCGGTGAGCAGCCACTCCCGCTTAACATTTCCTCGGACCCGCTGCAGCTGGCACGTCCGACGCATTTTGAAAGTTTTGTAAAGTTACTTGTGAGGAAAACAGCAGAAATGACGCCAGAGCTCTCACCGCCACGAGGAATCGTCGGATGCTGAGAAGGCTTGGCTGCCATGTCTCCCTGCTCTGCGAGGGCCACTGTCCGCCTCCACCCCCTCGCCCTCGCACCTGTCCCTTTGTTCCTTAGCCAAGTCCAAGCGTTCCTTGTTTTCACCCTGTTCGCTGACAGGGCTGGGACACCGTGCCAAGGCTAGATGCCTGCCATCTTTTCCTCACTTCCCTTCCTTTCTCTCAGCGGGGACGGAGGTTCGGTGTGTAATAGTGCATGAACATGCATAAGTGTGCATACATACACACACATGTATACACACGTGTCCCTGTTCTCCTGCCCCCACCGCACACACACATTCTGCAGGATGACTTTCTTCTCTTACATGATTCTCTGGGGCAGCAACCACAAACTCAAATCCATTTATTCATGTGGCAAATGTCTGAGCCTCAGATGGACGTCACCAGGGGTCTTCCGAGGGTGTGCGGGGACCTGGGAAATTATTTTCTGCAGGTGCCTTGCTACGTAAACAGTGTGGGTCACCCCGAACCAGCTTTGGGCTGTCGGAGCTTCCTTGGGAGCAGCAGGACCGGGGGCAGGCCGGGGCCAGGCTCCGCTGTGGGCGTCAGAGCCGGGGAAGGTGCAGGGCACAGAAGGGCTGGTCAGCCTGCGAGCCCCCTCGGTGGTGACAACCCACCTCGTTCCCACAACTGACCGCCAAGACCAGTCCTCGGGGCCCCACCGCCTTCTCTCCCTGATCTCTGGCCTCCAGTCTCCAGTGTGGCCGAGCCCCACTGCTCTGCACAGACACAGAGACCCCAGAGCGCCTGCAGCCCAGGCCCGCCTCACCCCGGCCTCACCGCTGCACCTGGCAGCCCTCTCCCTGCACCTTTGTGCTCTCATGCCAACCTGCTCGTCCTGCCATGCAGCCTCCATCACACTGACCCTGCTGTGGGAGTTGCCTTGTTGGATCTCCGCCTGGCTCGCTGCGTTGCTCATCCATCAGGACCCAGGGCCACCTCCTCCAGAAAGCAGGTCGCAAAGGCTGTGGCTGGAGCCACCTGGGGGCTCCCCCCCCCCTCCTCCTCCTCCTCCTCATGCCCACTGGTCTTTCAGAGGTCACTGCAGCCGCCCTCAGGCTCGCTTTCCCCAGGTTCCCAGGCGCCTCCTGTGGCCACAGGCAGTGCAGGAGCACCTGCTTCACAACAACCCTTTATTTGCTTGTTTTCCAGCTCGTGTGAACTCGAGGGGGCGGGCCGCATGGTGCCTGACATCCACCATGGGCACCATTTAAGGAGCGGAGGGAGGAGGGAAGGGCAGGAGGGCAAGGGGCAGGGCAGTCCCTCTGCCAGGCCAGGCTGTGTTGTCCTTGCCGGAGGCCATGAGGAAGGCCTGGCTCTGGCAGGATGGTGGCCCGAGGGACCAGCATGAGTGGGAGGGGCACCATGTGTTTTAAAAAGGAAAAGCAACCCGGGAGAGAATTCTTTCCAATTTATGGGTGTGAGAGTTTGGGACACGCAGCTCTCAGGAGAGGTGGGAAATCTCACAGCTCAAAAATGAATTCTGTGAGGATGGGGAGCAATATCCTGGAGTCCAGGGGGGCGTGCATGCCCAGGACACGGAACCAACCAGGCCATGCAGCTGCCCTGTGAAGGCCGGTTCTCAGAGCGGAGGCTCTTCGGCAGGTTATGTTGTCCTGAGGGGGCGCGGGTGGGGCCCACAGCCTGGGGGCACTCAGGAGTCTGAGTGAGAGCAGGCGGGGCTCTGGGTGAGAGCTTAGGTGTGGGGGCCCCTCAAGCTTGACCAGGAACAAGCAGGGATTGGCTCTCCCTTTGTGGGCCCAGGGCCACCCAGAAAGTTCCCAATGCTTGTCCCTAAGACAAAGGCAGGAAGAAAGGACAGCTTCCTCCTCCCTTGCTGTGCAGATAAGGTCAACTCGGCTCCTTATCTGTGCGTTAACGGCTCCATGCCCACCTCTCGGTGCATAGGCACCAGCCTGCGGTACGTCTGTGTCCTGCACGGATCGGCTGTTGTCTACAGTGTGACCGGCCGCCTGGGGTCCCCACCTCCTCGCACAGGCACCAGTGCCCTCGCAGCTCACAAACACAGGACACGCACGGCCTGGCGCTCCGGGCAGCGGCCTGGCTTTTAATGCGGAATTTGCGCGAGGAGCGCATCGCATCGCACTGGGCAGGCGCTCTGGATGCGTCTGCGGGAAAGCACAGCGTCCTTGTCTCCACGCCAGCACGTTTCTCAGACACACTCCTCCACGAAGAGAAAGAACAGGACCCATTTCTGTATAAGAATATATTATTTAAAAGGCAGTTTAAAAGTAAAAATTCTGTACAGCATCATGAATTCCTTTTTTTTTTTTGTATCACTGAACAAAACGGTCCTTGCGTGGGCGCCAGGGCGTCAGGATCAGCTTCTCCCCGCGGAGGATCTCACGCCGAGTGGCCGGGCCCAGGCACCGTGGACGGACGTCCTCCTCCTTCAGGCGAGGTCTGCTCGGGAGGGAAACGGACTCCGGGTTTGTCTTCATTGGGATTGAAACGCGCAGGCGATATCGCAAGTGTCACAGGACTAGTCGCGCACTGTGTTTGAAAAATGAGGCCATCGGACATATTGTTGAACATGTTCAGGGAAAATAAAACCATCTCGATCCCTCTTCTGAGCCATTCAAAAAATACGATCTGCCTTCAAAATTGAAAGCCAGCCCGGCTGGTGTGGCTCAGTGGTTGAGCATCCATCTATGAACCAGGAGGTCACAGTTCGATTCCCCAGTCAGGGCACATGCTCAGGTTGCGGGCTTGATCCCCAGAAGGGGGCGTGCAGGAGGCAGCCGATCAATGGTTCTCTCTCATCATTGATGCTTCTCTCTCTCCCTCTCTGAAATCAATAAAAACATATTTTAAAAAAAGAAAGAAAAAGAAAAGAAAGCCAGCATTTACGGAGTGCTTCCTATGGACCAGCCCTCTGCTTGGTTAACTGCTAAAACCACAACATGATGGTGATTTAGAGACTCGGGGCCTGAGGCTCAGAGGTTGAGTCTCCAGTGCAAAGCTTGGCCCCAAGGCTTGCTTTGTTGGCTGCTGGGTGCCGGGACCTCTGTTCCTCTAATAAAACCAAACCTAGTTTCTCATGCCGGCACCTTGCTGCTTTATAAACCGAAACTCCCCCAAAGGATCCATCAGCCACCTGGGTGGCGTGTCCTCATTATTCAGGCCGAATGGCTGGTCTGCCTTCTGCATGGACTGAGGGAATGGCTGATGCCAACAAGTGCTCGGGGAGGTGATCACAGCCATGCTAACAAATACTTTCTTTGTGAAAAGCTTGAAAAAAGCGTTTTCCCTTAGGAGTGGCACACCTGCTAATTACTGACCTTTTCCTATCAACTAAAGCATGCCCCCTCCTTCAGAGCCTGATTCTAATTATTCTGAGCAAGGCATACACGTTTTACTTATTTAAAAGTATCTGATATTCAGGTTTCCTCTCTCCTCCCTCCCTTCCCCTTCCCTCCCTCTCGCCCTCCCCAGATTCCAATCCAGCTCCACTGTGTTGGGAACTGCTGGGAATCAGTGCACAACAGCATTACCTTCGCTTGGCTTCCCATCTCTGCTTTTCTCCCTCGACTTGTCGGTGCCCCCGCCTGCCCGGCTCTCGCTCTTCCTCTGTAACCAGGACAGACAGAGAAGTCAGGCTCGGGGACCCTGAGGGGTGGCTGCTCGTCTGCTTGGGAGCTCCCCGTTGACTGCAGATGCTAAAACGTGAAGCTGAGACGAACGTCTGCAACCTTGTGGTGCCAAACACACACGTGTGAGCGTTTCAGACACAGCTCGGTGCACGGGCCACCTTCCCTGCTACGGGAGGCCTCACCCGGTGCGGCCACTGCCGGGCGCCTGGACGGCGAGCTCACACTGGCTGCAGTGCACACAGCCCCGTGGACTGGCCGTGGCGACTGTGGAGTCCACATCCCTTTCACCTCCTTTCTGGTCTGTCCTTTCTGGGGGCAGGAAGGGGCCGTGGAGGGTCCCAGTGGCCCCCACTGGGCGGCCGGGGCCTGGGACTTGGAGGCTCAAGGCCTCCGTTGAGATGACGTGTGGATGGCCCTGGAGAGTCAGGCTCTGCAGCTCTCCTGCAGGGGGTCTGGGCAGGGGGACGCCTCTTCTTACATCCGTCCTCTGTATCATCTGCTCTTAGCTTTTGGAGTTTCAGCACCTGCCTGTGACCTGACAGCCGTGGGCAAACTACAGCCCGCGGGCCGGATCCGGCCAGTTTGAAATGAATAAAACTAAAAAAAAAAAGACCGTACCCTTTTATGTAATGATGTTTACTTTGAATTTATATTAGTTCACACAAACACTCCATCCATGCTTTTGTTCCGGCCCTCCGGTCCATTTAAGAACCCATTGTGGCCCTCGAGTCAAAAAGTTTGCCCACCCCTGTGCTAGAATCTAACTAGAGAGATGGAGATGGCTGGGCTGTGGGCTGGGAGGTATGTGTTGAGCACCTACTCTACGTCCAGCATTGCACCAAGGAGGCTGAGAGCAACACAGGGCGAGCCTCAGCAGGGCATGGCGGGAGTTCCCAGTGGCAGAGGCAGGTGGAGGCACCGTGATGGGGAGGCCCTGGCTGAGGTGAGCAGTGAAGAAGACATGGTGCAGAGCCAGGTGGGGGGCACAGGCTGGGATGGGGTGAGGTCAGCCACAGCCACATGGGGCCAAAGTATGAAGCAGCAGGGAGACTGCTCCAGCTGCACTGGGGCCCCCGGGGAGAGGGGAGGCCACACCTGGGGTGGGTGGAGGTCAGGTGAGAAGGTCAGTGGGTGGTCCCAAGAGGCAGGGGGCCCTGACGCAGAGATGCGCACACCCCGGGGTCCTGCCTTGGCCAGACTAACTTGGGGGGCTTTGGGGGAAACCTCGACCCCAGCTCTGAGCCTGTGAACTGGACCTCCCCTGAAAACTATCAATCCCCAAACACCCTAAAGCCAGGCCCGGTCTGTCTCCCTGGCCCCTGGGAGGGGCCGAGCTGCCCCGTGGGAGAGTCTGTGGCCTAGAGCCAGGACGGGACATGGTGGTGGCTTTTCCCAGGCCAGGGGGAGCCTCTCAGTGAACAAGGTCAGCGCAGGGGCAGGGGGAGGAGAGGGAGGACGTTGGCCGGACGCTGCTGGGGGAGGGAGATGCCGTGGACGCTGACCCTCGTCACCTCACAGCGGGCGGCACTGTCATGTGACCTCCAACCACGTTAGAGCCCCCGATGTGGTCGGCCTGCCTCTCCTTTGGGTGGGAACGAGCGCCCGTCCAGAGGGGCCGCCTCGCGGTGCCAGCAGCGTGGACGGAGCCCGCGTCACCCGCTGTCCCGCGGGGCCCTACCTCCGTCATGGCGTCGTCCATCTGCTTCAGCTCCTCGTAGCGGTCTCTGGATTCCCACAGGGGCTGCAGCATGCTTTCCTCAACCGCAGGGAAGAGCTGGAGGGGGACACACTCGGTCAACCGTCCGCCGCTGAGGCGACGGAAAGCGTTTGGGACAAGGGCAGGTCCTGTGTCTCAGTGGATCGCACGGGAATCTGCATCCGTCCACGGGGCGCGGTCGGAGCCCCCAGGGTGTGGCCTCTATGGCATCCGAGGTGACCAAGGTTCTGACACTGTCGGGTCAATGGTTCCTGGAGCCCCTCACGCCTGCCACCTGCCCACCTGGTTCCACGGTCCCCGCTGTCTCCTGCTTCTCACAGGGACCTGGTAGAAGCCACTCCCTCCCCAACTCTCCCCTCCCGTGTCCCCCTGCCCCCCAACTGTCCACACTGCACTTTCTCATCTTCCAAAGCCAACTTCATCCACTCGGCCCCCGACAGCCCCAGAGCCTGGAGGGACTCGCTCATGCCTGCCCTCCAGCCTGGACGGCTCTGTCCTCCAGTCTGTCCGCCTGTTGGACATTCGCTGAGACTCAGCACAGGTTGCCTCCCCCCTCCCTCCCCACCCGGGGCCCTGTGCACACAGCTCTCCTCCCGGGAAGGTCACACTCCGCCCTATTGCAGGGGAGGGTGGGCCTGTGGTCGCGTCACTGCAGCCGGGACCAGCTCTGCTCGCCCGCTGTGAAGGCGCAGTGTGTGGAGAGAACGCTGTGAGCAAGAAGGCAGCTCCCGAGAAGCAACAGTGCCCGGGGCTTAAGGAAGGAGCGCTGAGCTGGTTCTGGAAGATGGAGGGAGCAGCATGTGAGGCTGGGGGCCCAGGGGAGGGAAGGGTGCACTTGGTGGTAAAGGTTGGAAGAAAGGCCAGGACCAGGAGCTGCGGGCCGTCCTGCCAGACAGAGGTGCTACGGAGGACGGGGGACCATGGGCCTGTGTTGGGGCAGTGGGGAGCCATGGAGGGTTCAGGAGAGAGGGGGAGACCTCCTTCCTGAAGGTTAACCTGGTGACAGCCGTGTGCTGGGTGGAGTGAGTGAGATGGAGATGGGACCGCTTAGGAGGTTCTTCCGAAGGTGACGGTGAGAGGAGCTGACACAGGCTCCTCTGGGGCCCCGCGAGCAGAGGGCCACTCGGAGGAGGTCTCCGTGGGGACTAGCAGGCTGGCCCTGGTGGCGCAGGAAGGGGAAGCGGGAGGTTCTGTGGGTGTGCTGCTGTGGGGAGCAGGAGGCGGGAGGGCAAGTGGGAGGTGGGGGGAGAGTGTTGGGCGTGTTGGTGTTAAGGTGGAGGGGGGCTTCAGGTGGGGTGTCCGGCGGGCAGTTACAGTTCACATGCACGTGTGTGTGAGCGTGTGGGCGAGTGTGTGAGCGTGTGTGAGCGTGTGGGCGGGTGTGTGAGCGTGTGGGCGAGTGTGTGAGCGTGTGGGCGAGTGTGTGAGCGTGTGGGCGAGTGTGTGAGCGTGTGGGCGAGTGTGTGAGCGTGTGGGCGTGTGTGTGAGTGTGTGGGCGAGTGTGTGAGCGTGTGGGCGTGTGTGTGAGCGTGTGGGCGAGTGTGTGAGCGTGTGGGCGTGTGGGCGAGCGTGTGGGCGAGCGTGTGGGCGAGTGTGTGAGCGTGTGGGCGTGTGTGTGAGCGTGTGGGCGGGTGTGTGAGCGTGTGGGCGAGTGTGAGAGCGTGTGGGCGTGTGGGCGAGCGTGTGGGCGGGTGTGTGAGCGTGTGGGCGAGTGTGTGAGCGTGTGGGCGTGTGTGTGAGTGTGTGGGCGAGTGTGTGAGCGTGTGGGCGTGTGTGTGAGCGTGTGGGCGAGTGTGTGAGCGTGTGGGCGTGTGGGCGAGCGTGTGGGCGAGCGTGTGGGCGAGTGTGTGAGCGTGTGGGCGTGTGTGTGAGCGTGTGGGCGGGTGTGTGAGCGTGTGGGCGAGTGTGAGAGCGTGTGGGCGTGTGGGCGAGCGTGTGGGCGGGTGTGTGAGCGTGTGGGCGTGTGTGTGAGCGTGTGGGCGAGTGTGTGAGCGTGTGGGCGGGTGTGTGAGCGTGTGGGCGGGTGTGTGAGCGTGTGGGCGGGTGTGTGAGCGTGTGGGCGGGTGTGTGAGCGTGTGGGCGGGTGTGTGAGCGTGTGGGCGGGTGTGTGAGCGTGTGGGCGAGTGTGAGAGCGTGTGGGCGTGTGGGCGAGCGTGTGGGCGGGTGTGTGAGCGTGTGGGCGTGTGTGTGAGCGTGTGGGCGGGTGTGTGAGCGTGTGGGCGGGTGTGTGAGCGTGTGGGCGGGTGTGTGAGCGTGTGGGCGGGTGTGTGAGCGTGTGGGCGGGTGTGTGAGCGTGTGGGCGGGTGTGTGAGCGTGTGGGCGGGTGTGTGAGCGTGTGGGCGGGTGTGTGAGCGTGTGGGCGAGTGTGTGAGCGTGTGGGCGGGTGTGTGAGCGTGTGGGCGAGTGTGTGAGCGTGTGGGCGGGTGTGTGAGCGTGTGGGCGAGTGTGTGAGCGTGTGGGCGGGTGTGTGAGCGTGCGTCCACAACGTGTGCATGTGTGTGTGAACGTGTGGGCGAGTGTGTGAGCGTGTGGGCGTGTGTGTGAGCGTGTGGGCGAGTGTGTGAGCGTGTGGGCGAGTGTGTGAGCGTGTGAGCGTGTGTGTGAGCGTGTGGGCGAGTGTGTGAGCGTGTGTGAGCGTGTGGGCGGGTGTGTGAGCGTGTGGGCGAGTGTGTGAGCGTGTGTGAGCGTGTGGGCGAGTGTGTGAGCGTGTGGGCGGGTGTGTGAGCGTGTGGGCGGGTGTGTGAGCGTGTGGGCGAGTGTGTGAGCGTGTGTGAGCGTGTGGGCGGGTGTGTGAGCGTGTGTGAGCGTGTGGGCGGGTGTGTGAGCATGTGGGCGAGTGTGTGAGCATGTGGGCGAGTGTGTGAGCGTGTGGGCGAGTGTGTGAGCGTGTGTGAGCGTGTGGGCGGGTGTGTGAGCGTGTGGGCGGGTGTGTGAGCGTGTGTGAGCGTGTGGGCGGGTGTGTGAGCGTGTGGGCGAGTGTGTGAGCGGGTGGGCGAGTGTGTGAGCGTGTGTGCACAGCGTGTGCATGTGTGTGTGAACGTGTGGGCGAGTGTGTGAGCGTGTGGGCGAGTGTGTGAGCGTGTGTGAGCGTGTGGGCGGGTGTGTGAGCGTGTGGGCGAGTGTGTGAGCGGGTGGGCGAGTGTGTGAGCGTGTGTGCACAGCGTGTGCATGTGTGTGTGAACGTGTGGGCGAGTGTGTGAGCGTGTGGGCGAGTGTGTGAGCGTGTGTCCACAACGTGTGCATGTGTATGTGAGCGTGTGGGCGAGTGTGTGAGCGTGTGGGCGAGCGTGTGAGCATGTGGGCGAGTGTGTGAGCGTGCGTGCACGGCTGTGCACTCCGTGTTTCTCACTGTCTGTTGTGTCGCCCCGGGTGCGGCGATGGTCACTCACCTTGGTCACTGTTTCAAACATGGGGATCAGGACGAACTTGATGAACCCAATCTGGGCCGTGGCTTTGGTCACTTTGTCCCGGTCCATGAAAGGGGCCACGGGGAGGCCTTCCGACTTCTCGCGGTCGCTCTGGGGAGTGCAGCAGACGCAGCGTTAAAGAAACACGCAGGGAACTTGGGGGGCTCTGGGGATCACTGTTCTTCGAGGAGGAGAAATATGAGCTGATATGCCGCGGCCAGCCCAACCGCGGTGCGTTATGTAAATCAGGAATAACAATTGCCAATTGTTTGAAAAGACGATGCTGCTCTGAGCGCTACATCGGGTGTGCAGGGCCGTGCGGGGCCGTGGGGTGAGCACTGAGGGGAGGGCACAGGCAGAGGCCAACGAAGTGGGTCGCAAGAACGCGCCGTGGCAGAAGCAGCTTGGGGACACCCCGCCGGCTCATCAGAGCTTCCCCGGCCGCCCCGGGAGCCCTTCCTGTCTCTGCAGTCTTGACCTTCAGGCGGTTGTCTGACATGTGTGCCGCTCAGAGCAGCTTACTTAGTGGTGACCGGCGGCAGTTCCACAGCATTAGCTTTCCCAGGCAGCCATGCCTCCCAGGTCTGAGATGACAGCCTCGCTCCCGCTCCCGTTGGCTGTGCGCCTGCCGTGAAGGCTTTCTGGGGGCGGGAGGCACTTCTGCCGACCCGTCTGTGTCCACTGTGACCCGCCTGCTGCGATTCAAACTGGGCCTCACGTAAGGGGCCAGGCAGAGCGCCCGGAGGCGTGACTGCTGTGCACGAAATATTCCCGTAAAATACTCTTACCTGCATGAAGTATTCTTCTAATAAGCAGTCCACCCAAGGCTCTGCGACTTCCATCGGACGCACCTCGTTGGAGATATCACAGCATTTTATCAAAATCATCTTCAGCTGCAAGAAGAGGCCTGGGGTCAGGCAATGGCGCGCAGACCGGAACCCACGCCGTTTGGGCTGGACGTGGCCCCCAGGAGCGGGCGGGGCTGTGGACGGGGCTGAGCTCGGCTGCCCCTCCATGGCTCAGCCAGGGCGCCTGTGGTGGGGTCCCTGGCGGTCTGCATCTCGACCCTCAGCCTCAATTGGGGAGGATGAGGGGCATCACTGCACCCCCATAGGATCAGAATGTTTTTCTTTCTTTTTTTAAAAATCCTCACCCAAGGATATTTTTCCATTGATTTTTAGAGAAAGTGGGAGAGGGAAAGACAGAGAGAAATGTCGAGGTGAGAGAAACACATCGACTGGTTGCCTCCTGCATGTGCCCTGACCAGGGCGCGGGCCGGGGAGGAGCCTGTAATTGAGGTACGTGCCCTTGACCGGAATCGAACCTGGGACTCTTCGTCCGCAAGTTGATGCTCTATCCACTGAGCTACACCGGCTAGGGCTCAGAATGTTTTCTCGGCGGGACCTTGAGTGGTAGAACAGCCCATTTAACACCAGGACCTTCTGTCATACGAATATACATTATGAAGTTCTTGATTATTGAAGAGACAGGAAAAAGTGTAGAGAGGCATCGTTAGCGATGAATAATGGAGCCACTACAGTCAAGCTGCTAAATTATTAAAATCACGTTGCCTAAGGCAGGAGGAGATGATTATAGTCTTGTTCTAATCAGCTGGGAACTTGCACTTGAACTCTCCAGTCCCGTGTCAATGCCGGGACATACAGCAGACCTGCAGGTAATCCTCTGATGACCTCAGAAGGACTAAGAAAAGAATGTTCTCGTATCCAGACCGCTGAACGTGACCAGACCTCCTGGCGTCCATCCTCCAGACCATCTGGACCAATCCGAGGGCCAAAAATGCACACTGGTCCTTCTCCAGAATGTACACTTTGCTATAAGTACTCTTAGCTTTTCTTTCTTCTCCGGGACATTTCTGGGTTTTGGCTTAGCTGTGTTTCTAGTTGGCAAATCCTAAGATCCTTGAATAAATCTTGATCATTTATTTCTAGCCAAAGCTTCCAGACTCTCACTCATGTGACGTTAGGAATCAGAGGTTAAAAGGGTAATAGGAGTGGACAGTGCTGGGACACCCAGTGACAAAGCGGCACATTAGAAATATAGGGTGAACGTAAACGCAGCGAGGGCATAGCCTTGGCACCCTAACCCCTGAATAGGATGGGCAACTGCAGATTCCTCCTATCCCCCGCAGCCCAGGATTAGCAAGACTGCCCGAATGTCAGAGGTGGCATTAGCTTCTGCCCCCTGCTCCCAGGCCCGCGTCTTCCCTGTGGTAGCCGGGCTCTCTGCCTCTGAACCCGGTCAAAGCCGCCACCCTGCAGAAGCCTCCTCTCCCCCTGCGTCCTTCCAGGTCCTGCTCTGGACCCTCTCTCCAGCCTTCCTGGCCACCCAGACCCCGATTTCAGCCCCCACAGTGCCGCCCTGTGCCTGGCCACATCTCGTTTGTGCTGTTCCCTAGTTGGGTGCCTTTCTGGTCCTCCCAGGACACCCGACTCCCTCCGAGCCTGGTGAGGTCTGGGCATGCATTTGGTTCCTCCGATGGAGACTCGCCAGGCCCAAGGATTCAGCCAGAGCGTTTCCACCTGAATCAGTCACGTGAGGGCCTTTGGGACCGGCTGCAGCACCAATGACTTGTTCCAGGCCCAGCGACTGTCACCTGGACTTGCCAGTGTTTGAGATCAGTGCTGGCTGCCACTCAGAGTCTGGTGCGGGTCCACCCGGGCTGTGGGCCCCGAATCTGCCTGGGCTGCTCTTCCGGGGGGGAGGGGGCCTTGGGGAACCTGACTTGACTCAACTTCAGCTGAACCTCCAGGTGAGCACTGCCCTTTAGTCCTTCCCTCGTCGCCCTGCCCCATGGCTTCCTGGGAACCGACCCAGGCCTTTCTCGTCTCCTGTGTGAGGAGTCGGGCTGTAGGCCACAGGCAAAGGGCTCTGCCTGGCAGGCCTCGGGGGGACGCTGCCCCCGACACCAGGCTGGGGCCAGCAGGGCACGGCCGTCCTGGAGGGGGTTGAATCAAGGCCTCAGGCCTGGGCCACCGGGTCCCCAAGTTGCCCTCCGAAAGGCTGGGTTCAGCATGTTTTCCCGGGCTGTCCTTTGTGGGAGAGCCAACTATATTCTCAGGAAACCAGAGCAAGATGAACCGCCTTTACCCGCTTACTATCCTCCCACCAGAATGAGAGGGAGCGTGCAAAAACGCTGCCCGTAGCCACGACGGAGCTTTACTGGGGGAGGTTCCCAGCAGGCGGCCTTCCTGGTGAGACTGGGACCTTTGAAAACCAGCTTTATTGGCACCTCCCTCCAAGGCAAGTAGGAGTTGCGGTTTCTCGGTTTCTGGTCTGAGCTGGGGAAAGGACTCCCTCACCAGCTCCCCGACCCCCAAGAGGCGAAATGAGCCTACTCACCAGGGTCATGTGCTCCTCGTTGCTGTAGTCGAAGTTCTCCATCTTCTCTTTGAAGGAATCCATGATCTCTGCGTGCCTGGCCATGTCAGTGGCCAAGATTAATGTGATCATGCCCTGAAGAGCGAAAGAGCAAAGCATGAACACCAGGCAAATCCCAAGCATTCCCCATTGAGCGCCGACTGTGTGCTGAGCCCTCTGCACACACCAAGTCTCTGCACAGACCTCATGCCAGCCCTGTGTGTGTCTAGGAATCACTGTCCTCATTTTCATTTTATTCATGATTATTATTTTTGTTAATCCTCACCTGAGGATATTTTTCCATTGATTTTTAGAGAGTGGAGGAGAGAGGGAAAGGCAGAGAGGAACACTGATGTGAGAGAAACTCATTGATTGGTTGCCTCCTGCACGAGCCCCATCAGGGCCTGGGAACCTGTAACCGCGGTACCGGCCCTTGACCTGCATCGAACCCCGGACCCTTTGGTCCACAGGCCTACGCTCTACCCACTGAGCCAAAACAGCTAGGGTGCTGTGTTCATTTTTAGATACAGAAGCTGACACTGGACGAGGCCGAGGGCCCTGCCCAGGCTGCAGCGGGAGGGTGGAAGCCTGGCGTTCAGGCCCAGCGGAGCCTGACCCCTCCCCCTGCGCTGTGTCTGTGAAGCAGCAGCAGCCACACCAGGTCTCCCAGGACAATGTCCTCATGGATGGCAGCTTGGCCGCGGACAAAGGCTTCCCCGTGGTTTAGTCACCTAGGCCTGTGGTCTTGTTGGAGGTCAATGACCGATTTTCCAAGGGTATTTTTCCCGTTATCTAATCTGTGTGTGATGACATGTGTACCTATTGCTTGGGAGTGATCAAAGTCTGTCTATGTACAATAGCATTCTTCTATGAACGAATTTGTAAATGAGGACGCAATGAGTTTTTAATATAAATAATCCATTACCTTACTAATCAGATGTTGGCTTAAAAGTAACATAATTCAAAACCATGACCATCTGACCATCCATCCATCCATCCATCCATCCACCCATCAATTTATCCATCTGACTTGTCCATCTGTCTGTCCGTTGGTCTGTAGATCCATCCATCCACCCACCCACAAGCATTTACAAACACACCACCGTGTCGAGCATGGTGTTCTACTTTTAAAAAAAAAATGAAACCACAATCATCAAATGCAGAGCTCAAGTCACCCAGCACAGATCATCTCAGATGTGTTGGGAGGAGGGGGGCACGACTGACATTCTGAATGGTGCCATTTCCCTGTGAAGATTTAACTGTGTAGCAGGGAAGGACCTATGCCGTGAGGAGTTAGCCCTCAAAATATTCAGTGACAAAATGTTATTAAAAATCAGGACAACTGCCCGGCTGGTATAGCTCAGCAGTTAAGTGTCGACCTACAAATCAGGAGGTCACTGTTAGATTCCCGGTCAGGACATATGCCTGGGTTTTGGGCTTGATCCCCAGTAGGGGGTATGCAAGAGGACACTGATCAATGATTCTCTCTCATCATTGATGTTTCTATTATTCTCTCCATTTCCTTCCTCTCTGAAATCAATAAAAATATTTTTAAAAATTGGGACAGCTGATTTTAGTCTCAGAAAAAGTCTCGTTTGAACATGAGGCGTTTGAGGCAGGACAACCCTGTGCGCCCCAGGGCGGACACGAGGAAGATCTGGGCTGTGGGGTCAGCCGCTCCTCCAGCCAGGCACTTCCTCCCCAGGGTCGCTGGGTCTCCCACGAGGGGGCGTTCAGGTGCTCGGATTCTCCAGGTCGTATGCATTCCAGGTCGCTGGGCAGCCGTCAGGGGCAGCAGCCAATGCAGTGCTGTCTCCAGGACTTGCCCTTTACCTGCTTCAGAGAAAGGTTCCCTCGGGCTCTTCAGAACAGCACATGGCACTTGCTTGCCCGGTGGTTCCATAAACATGGGAGGGAGGCAGAGGCCTGGGCTTGAGGAGGGACTGCCCCGGGAACCGGTGATTCAGCGATGACAGTAAGCACCGCATTTAGCTCTGAACTTCCTGGAAGCAGGGCCAGTGGGGAAACATATATGAAGCTTATCAGCCTCCAGCGGGAGGGAGGGTTCCCAGCTCTGGATTCTAGACCCTTTATCAGGCGCATCTTCAGGGAAGGCCACGAAGACATCTCATGGGTGCGGTTTTCATCCATGGACTGTCAGGGCGTGGCTCCTCCAGACGTGGACCTTGGCTCCTGTGCAGTGTCCCAGGCTGCCATCCACATGGACCCGGGGACACAGAGGACCACAAAGGTGTTATCTCAGGGTTCTGGAGGCCAGAAGCCTGGATCCAAGGTGTCGGAGGGCCCTGCTCCCTCCCAGGGCCCCAGGGGAGGGTCCCCTGCTTCTTCCAGCTGCTGGTGGCCCAGCATTCCTTGGCTTGTGTCCACATTACTCCAGTCTCTGCCTCTGTCATCTCATGGCCTTGTCGTCTGTGTATCTCTGTTTTCTCCTCTTCCGTCTCTTGTAGAGACACTTGTCGTTGGATTTAGGGCCCGCCTGGCTAGCCCAAGCCAGTCTTACCTAGCGATCCTAACGATGCAGCTGTGAAGACCCTTTTTCCAATTAAGGGTAACTTCACAAGGCCGAGGGTCAGGAGGTAGACATACATTTTGTTTTTGTTTTTTTTGGCAGGGGTGGGGCTACCATTCAACCTACTACATTCCTCCAAAGGTCGCCCTGATGTCCTCCCTCAGAGGGTGGAGCACAGAGACGCGCTCGGTGGGACCTCCTGGGCGAGGGCTGTCATTTGTGGTGAGTGGAAGTGTCTGCCTCAGGACAGGGGGCGCTCTCAGTCTCCTCCCAAAATGCCCCGAGAAGTGGTCAAGTCTCTTAGCTGAAGTGGGCAGTGGGCAGACTGGGTCAGGGGGTGGCAGGGGACAGTGGTCAGGGCCCAGCTAGGTTGGATGTGGCAGGTATGTCTGTCCAGGGTCTGCTGTGTACTCCCTGTGCTCCCTGGGCAAGTTACCCAGCGTCTGTGGACCTCTCCCCGCTGCGTGGCAATGGAGAGAGGGCGTATCTCCAAGGATAAGTTCAACGCTGGGTGTGAACTGCCGTCAGTGGACTCCCAGGTACGCAGGCCCGGGCGTGCACCTCTTCCTGGGCGCTATGTGGCCTTGGAGGCGGTGGGAAGGGGGGCGTGCTCCCCAGGGTCCCTGTGGGCGCTGCTGTGACCGGGAGCTTCCGGGAGCCTCAGCTGGAGAAGGGGTTCTCTCGTGGTCGTGCTCACTGTCTCCCCTGAAAATCCCCCTCACCCTGCAGGCAGAGTGCCCCCACCCCCGCACACCTGTCGGATCTGCTTGAACCCGTCGGGCTGCACGTTGGAGAAGATGTTGCACTCGGGCTGGGCGAGGATCTGGAAGGCCACGGCGCAGTGGTGGTTCTCCAGGGGCGAGATGTCGTTGTAGCGCACGGCCAGCTCGGTGCGGGCGTTGATCTGGTACCTGGAATTGGGGGTGAGGGGGCAGGAGCCTCAGCAGCCCGCACTCGGAGGCGCCCGCGTGTCAGGGCAACACGCTGAGGGGTACTGTGCTGCCGTAGGGGCTGGGAGGCAGTTGTGAAGGGGCTGGTGAAGGCGGCTGCACTCTGCCCGTGCCAGGAACTCACTTCTCCCGGCTCCCCTGACTCTCTCCTGCCCCTTGAATGAGATGATCCCAAGTTTTTACAGTCCTACCAGGTGGACAGCACCCAGAAGTCTCCATTTCTCTGTTACGGTGCCCTGAAGGCACCGGGCCTTTCGGGATGGCACCTTGCAGACATTTCAATACGTGCAAAAGGCAGGCATTTGGGAGAAGAGTCGGATGCTGCGGTCCAGGCCCCGTGCTGGCCTGTCACCGAGGGTGGGCACTGAGGGAGTAGGTGCCCACGGGCTCCCACGCCTTAGAATCCATGGTCCTGACCATGGCAGCAAGGTTCTCGGGCACATTGTGCGTAAAATAAAACTCAGTACACAGGTACACACGTCTGACAGAAAGAAGCCATGTGTCACTGTGAACGCAAACCAATGCCACGCGGTCGGGACTGCGGCGGTCAGGTGGGTGGGACTCTGTGCCTTTGCCTCCAAGAGGCGGGAACGGATCAATGTTCCAGCAAAGCCCACCGTGCACCCCTCCCACTCCCCGCTCACCCACCCTCCTCTCGCTCAGTCCTAGCCCTGGCACGGTCCCTGTGGGAACAGGGTGGGGAGGCTGCCGTGGGGGGCGGGATCCAGAGTGAGATCCCTGTCCGTGTGGGCATCAGGCCCTGCTTCAGGTACCGCCAGGGCTCAGGCCTGTGCAGAGGCACAGCCTGGAGCCAGGACCACAGAGGGTGTGGCAGCCTCGTAGGGTTTGGTGACCTTGAAGGGTCTGCCCAGGGAGGCCCAAGGCCTTGGACAAAGTTCCAAAGTGGGGAGCTGTGTCCCATGGAGGTGGTGCTGGGGGGTCGGAGGCCTCTGCTGACGCTCCGATTTGGGGCTGGTCTGAGTATTGAGCTGAACCGAGTGCCCTTTAAAACGAAAAGTCACCGTGCACGCACGTGTTGTTGTATCCTGGATGGTCCAGATCGTGGCAGACGGCTGCGGTCATTAGGATCAAGATATCCATTTGGGAAAACTTCTCCTGGATTAGAGAGGGGGGTAGGGGTGAGGAGGGGGTGGAGGGGGGTGGAACGAATGATAAGGGCAGGATGAAGCCCCCTCCAGCCGCTGGCCTGGTGGGAGAGGACCCGCCCCCTCTCTGGGGTGGGGTGAGGGGGGCCCACTTGCTCAGTGACTCAGAAGCGCCTCGCCTAGGTGGGCGATGACACTGATGGGCTGGGTGGGTTCCCTGGAGGGTGGAGGAGCTGCTGCGGAGCCCGAGGCTGTCTGTCCCTCTGGGTGGGGGTGCGTCCCTGCCATCCCCTGGAGGGGCTCCCCCAGACCCACCTGGAGCCCGCAGAGCCAGATCATGCTGTACATCATCTGGGCCACGCAGAAGCAGTGCCGGAAGTTGTGGAAAGGGTTGTTCCTGTAGTTGTCGTGCACGCAGAGCTGCGGGAGACGAGGGTCTGACCGCCCGCGCTGTACCCACCGCCCTCTCCAGCTCCCTCGCTAGCCGTCCCAGATGCTCCCTGCCCCGCCCTCGTCTGTGGGGCAACAGTGCTCCTGTGAGGACAGGCGAGGACGGGTGGCCCAGAGGGCAGGCGTGGGGACAGACCTCCAGGCTTTCACCGTGGGCTCCTAGACTCAAGGTGTCTGAGCAGCCACACTGGGACATGGAGCTGAGGGCCAAGCCAGGGGAACTACCGGGGTCCCAGTGACTGTCTGACCTTTAATATTTGGTTCTGAGCAGTATTTTATTTTTAAAAAGGCCCGCTATTAACACACACTCGTACATGCCATTCACGCATGCACACACTCACACACATACTACTCACACCCACAGCCACACATGTACAAATGCACACACAAGCACATTTACACAGGCACACCCTCACAGACATACTCACATAAACACATACACCTACATACACATACACTCACACATGCACACTCACACACACACGTGTGCACACAATACTTACACACATTCAAACACACACACTGACACATATTCACACACGAACACACTCATGCTCACTCACATGGTCCCACCCACAGACACTCATAACACACTCACACATACTCATGCACACACTTGCACATGTACATACTCATGTCTACTTTCCTCACAAACATGCACACACTCAGACACTTTCACACACTCATACATACTTGCACACACACACACACACACACACACACGCCCCTGCTTTAGCACATGCTGCTGCACTGGTCTGCCCTGTCCTCACCATTGTCTCACTTCCTGGAGCAGGAGCGCAGGGGGGAGTGTGTGGTGGGGACACAGGCCGGCGGAATGTCCTGGCAGAACTCTCCTGAGTGCCCAGGGCCACCAGGAAGGTGCCAGGATGGCCACTCCCATGTAACTGGATGAAACTGTGTTCAAGAGGGACTGCAGGGGCTGCCACTTACCAGCCACCTCTTGAGCGTGATGGGGTTGATGCTGAAGTCTCTGACCAGGCAGAGGTCGTGGTACATGTGCTCCAAGCAGCTCAGCATCTGCGGGCACAGGAAGAGCACAGGGTGGTCAACAGCACGCAGGCCGCCCGCCCGGCCCTACCGTCCCGGGAGAGGTCCGCAGGGCAAGCCGGGCAGCTTCTCCAGGCGCGTCCCCAGGGGGCAGCCCTCCCTGGCCCGGGTCCCCCAAGAGTGAGGCCTGTAGACTGGGGATTCAGCAACCCACAGAAGCGGTGTGGGGTTTGAAAGAGCAGTCAGTGTTCAGAAGTCAATGGAATTCTATACAAGACGGAACAGCAAGCGGCTGGATAAGAGGGAGTATGCTGCGCCCAAAGGACCACATCAGAGATGATTTCATTTATTTCCGCTCACAAGGCACAATCTCATTGGGTCAACCTCGCAGTCTCCAGGACTCTGTTCCATCTAACTCAGATCTGAGAGCTGCGCCCCAGAGAAAGGCCCTTCACTCGCCTCAGGCCTGAGCCGGAGGGTACAGGGGCCAGCAACTTCCATCCCCAACACCCTCACTGTGCCCCCTGGGCCACTTATTAATGTGTTAAATTTAGTCCAGAAGGTGAGTGCATTCTGGGTAAGCGCCCTCCCCTCCCTGCAACCTTACTTCACTGACTGTCTTCTAAAAACCCTGCTCACATTGAAATAGATTTTGTTTTCAGTCCCAAAGAGGATTTACTGTCACTGTTATCATCTATTTAAATATCGCTCAGAGCTCTGGAGCTAATTAAGCGAGGGAAGACAGATTAAATTATTTTTAATAAATGAAAGTTTGACAAAGTGGGCTTTGCCTTCTGGGAAAGCAGGTCTTAGATGGGAGCCCAGGGAGACAGATCTGCAAAGCAGGGGCAATGAAGATGTCACTGGGGGGTGCAGAGCTGACACCGGCCAGCGCCTCTCTGCCCAGGGCCACACACCTGTGCCCTGCCTCTGCCACATTCTCCAGCTGCCCGGTGCCTGCGCAGGCATGGCAGGGCCTCCGGACTGAGGGTGCAGCCCCGACACCCCTTGCCCCACCCACCAGCCCATGCGCCGCTCCAGGCAACCCCCAGGAGCTGCATGAAATGATCGGCAGACGAAACCATCTGGTGCCATGGCTGAGGCACGTGGTATCTAAAGCAGGAGTGAGGTGGCCATGCATCTGTCCCCAAGCTGGTGGCAGGTCCTGGTCAGACAGCTGGGCGATGGGGAGTGTGGAGGACTCAGGAGGTGACCAGGAGGCCCAGCCTGTGAGCCCCGTGCTCAGTAGAGGCGGCCACGCTGCGCTTCCCGGCCCCCGTGAGCTGACAGCAGCTTGCGGGGGGGCAGCAGCGTGTGAGGTCATGGACTCCTGGTCTGTGATGGGGGAACACTGGGCTGGAGCCGGGTGAAGCTGGGCACAGCATCTCTCCTGCTCGAAGAGGTGAACCATCGCCACTGGGGGCTCTGACGTGCTCGGGGTGCGAGGTGCTTTGTGGGTGGCCAGATGCAGTTTCTCGGGGGCCAGGTGGGATTTCAGTTTTCAGTTGTGACTCTTTAATTGATCATCTTTGCCGCCCATGGTCCAAAATTCATTGCACCCCCAGATGTGCCAGAGGCCGGGGGTCCAGTCTTTGGGCACCTCTGGTTGTCACCACAGGCAGCGGGAAGAATCAGGCCCCTCACAAGTCTCTGGACCACTGAGATGTGCTGGCAGGAGCCCCAGGCCAGCAGGTGGCCACACAGAGGCCGAGCCCACCCGCAGGGAGCTGTCTGGTTCCTCTCACGCTGGCCCTGCATGTACACTCCACATGTACATACACCCCACGTGTTGTAGGACAGGGAGGCGTGTTCTCTCTCTGGCCACATGACCCTGTGCTCAGAGGAGACAGCAATGGCAGCGATGCCCACCCAGGTGCTTTGCCATCAGGGGCCAGGCTTCCCCTCTTGCTCCTCGTGGCTGAGGACAAATGACTCCAGGGACCGTGCTTTTTCTCGATGTCTCTATAGTGGAGCTTGTCCACCTGCCGGAAGCAGGGACCTGCACGGTCTGGGCCGTTGAGACCAGAGGTCACACCTCTTGTTTCTCCAGGCCACGCGGCCTCCCATACCCAGTCGATTTCTCACAGTGCATTGATCTGGCAGGTGATGGCCGCTCCCCTAAAATGTCTCCTGCTCCTTTATATCCACGCTCCCAGCCTGCACGCGGCCTGGACGTTGTGGAGCACGTGCGCCATCTGGTCCAGTGTTTGCTACGGGACCATCCCTGGCACACAGGCGGGCTCCCGTCAGGCTGGCTGGGGTGGGAGGAGGTGAATCTCAGGTTTCTGGTCAGTGCTGCCGCGGCTTCCCCTTTGCTGGGGGAGCAGGAATGAAAGCACAAGCAGGGTTCACTCCGGGGACCCCAGCGCCCTGGGAGCGGGCCAGCGCTGGTGACCCTCCCTTTCCGCCTTCGCAGGGATGTCATCACTGCCGCTCTCGTCCAGGCGGGCAGCTTGCTGGGGGCAGCCTTTCTGCATCTCTGCTACTGCAAAGCTGGAGAGTCCGTAGATTTTGGGGGCCTGATGTCTGTGATGAGGGACTTTCTGTGTTCTTGAGGTTCAGAAGAGACGGGTATGACTGATATGATTAGGTAACTAGACCAAACAAAGAAAACCTCTTTTGTGTTTTCTCAGCAAAAGGGAAAGTAAAAAAAAATCTTGCCAAGTGCCTCGCCTCCCAGGTCCTGTACGTGTGCCTGTCCGGGGGCCGGCCTGCGCCTTTCCCCATAGAAGCTGCTCTTGGGTGGGGGGGTGTATCTCCACGGTGTGGGGGGTCTGTGGGCAGCAGCTGGCAGCTGAGAGGGTGTTTGTGGGGTCAGCAGAGGGCCCCTGGGGACTCTCGACGATGATGCTCCCTGGGGGTGAGCACCTGCAGTCAGCACCCCAGGGTTCAAGCCCCTGCACTTGACCGCCTGCTCCTCTGTCTGACATCCCCTTCCTGAGTTCTGTCTCCAGGACCCCCCTGAGCCAATCAACAGTCAGCTTAACTAAAACCTGGAGAATCAAGTGAAAAAAGCAACAAAAAGAACAGAGAGGAGAAAGGCCAGGGGGAGAGTGACGGGGATGCTTCCGTCACGTCCCCACGACGCCGGTCCCAGAGGCTCCCCCACTCACCTCGTTGGGCTCCCAGAGCCAGACGTCGAAGGTCGGCTTGCGCAGGCCCTCTATGGTCTCTGGCGAGAGCAGATACTGGAAAGGACAGGAGGGCATTAGCCTCTGGGCTGAGCCACGGCCGTCACCTCTGGGGGACGGGGACGTTTCCTCTGTCCCGCAAGGACACCCGTGTACAGGCTTGCAGGCTACATTCTGCAAGAATTCTGGCAGCGGGCAAACTCCAGGGACGGGAATCCCACCCGAGGCAGGGCCAGAGCGCCCGGCATGCCCACGTGGGCGCGAGGGACCGTTCTGGGGTGACGGGGACGCTCCATCCCTTGACTGTGGTGGATGTTCCCTGACTACACGAGTTTGTCAAAATTCACCATACAATGCGACTCACTGCATATAAGTAACATCTCAATAAACTTGACTTGAAGAAGCAAAGTGAAGTCGCGGGGAAAACTGCTTGGTGTAAGTCCAAATACTGGCTCAGAAGTGGGTTTGGGTTTGCTTTTTGTGGGAGCCCATATGGTTTAGCTGTGGGCTGAGGGCCTACAGGACACGAGTCAGAGTTAAATCGTCACAGGAAACAGGAACTGCGATTTTAGACGTCAGCCAGTCATAGTGTTTTGGGATTAGATATCGTGTTCCGCAAGGGTCGTGGGGTTTCGGTTTATTTTTTTTTAAGGAACCGCAGTGGAGCACTGAGACCCTGTACTTTGGACCTAGGCTGGGCCTCATGACTCCCTAGGGCTGGAACGTGAGAGATCTGGGTCACATTTTCCTACAGAAGAGACGCCGGTGTCCATCTGAAAACCCTGGACAAGCCTGGTTGGTGTGGCTCAGGGGTTGAATGTCGACCCAAGAACCAGGAGGTCACGGTTTGATTCCCAGTCAGGGCACATGCCTGGGTTGTGGGTTCCACCACCAGCAGGGGGCGTGCAGGAAGCAGCCGATCAATGATTCTTTCCCATCATTGGTGTTTCTCTCTCTCTCTCCCTCTCCCTTCCTCTCTCTGAAATCAATCAAAACAGATTAAAAAACAAAACCAAACAAACCACGGACAACCTGCAGGCCCCTGGCCCCTGTGAGTAAGCGGGAGCCCCAATATCAGCTCAAGAGGGCGCTGAAGGTCAGCTGGGCCGGGGGCTCGTTCACTCACCAGCTGAGGGCTCTGCTGAGATGGGTGACCGCCATCCTGAGACCCCCCTCCCCAATTCCCGGGGCCCTGCTGCTTTCACAAGGGCCCGGGGTCTCTGGTAACTGAGAAATCTTTTGTGACCGAAAAGCAAAACTTCTCATAATAACAGCGTATTGTTCAGGGACAGAAGATCCCAGAGAGCAGGTTTTAAAAAATTTACTTAGAAATTTAGCCCTTACCTCCCGCCACAGTAAGCTATGGTCTGGGACCACTTGGCTCAACAAACGTCAAAGAGAAAACTATTCTGCTTAAGAAGAACAGGCGCGTCCCGCAGCCCACGGCCGCGGCAGGAGCTGTTTCTGCAAATGTGCAGACACTGGGCGGCCAGGCCAGGAGGCCAGGGTGGCCGAGGGCGGGGCCTGTGCCCGGGGCTGTGGACACAGACGCTCTATCTTCAGAGGCAGAATTTCATCTTACCTTGGGATAAGTGGGGACATCGCGTTGAGGTGTCAACTTCTTGCTGTTATCCAAAAAACTGTACTTACAGGGGCAGCTGGTCCTAGGGGGGAAGCAAAGGTTAGTCTGCACCGTTGCTTCAGTCTGGGTGTTCACATGGGCAGGGACTGTGGGCACCTCCTCAGAGCAAAACAAACTGCAAACCCCATGCCAAGCCCAGAGCAAACCCTACAGACGCCCTTGGTCGTATCTGTTGTGGAGGATAAGTCATAAAGCCAGAGACGCCTCATCACTGACCCCCAGGGCCCCTGCTGGGTCTCCACAGGTACAGTGGGCTCTTGGAAACATGGGTCTTCATTACAGATAAGCTCCTAAAAACCTTTTAAAATGACGAAAGCAAAGCGCGTTCCTTCCACAAAATTCAACCAACACAGAAGTAAAGTAAAATAAAAAAAAAATCGAAGTTCCTACATCACCCCCTCCTTTCCTCTTGAGTCGAACACCCTGGGGATCCCTGCTGCGGTGTGGGGTATTCTTCCGGAACATTCCGGGCCTGGACACACACGGACAGCCCCGTGCTTTCCAACAGAGGCGGGATCGCACCAACGTCCTCCCGGCTGGGCCGCCAGCTGCTTTCACCGAACGCGCCACACACCTGCTGGTGCGGCTTCACAGAGCCCGGCCTTGTTAAAAGCAAGCCCTTCTCCGGTGCCCGGGGGGTGGCCGCACTGCACGCTATCAGTCCGGCCCCCAAGACGACTTCAGGGTGCCCCCAATTTTCCCATCACATGCGTGCTGACAGGCGGATCTGCTACCTGGCTCGGTCTTCGTCATTACTCAATGTCAAGGTGTCCCACAAAAGAACAGAAGGAAAGGGGCCAGGTGTGATCTGGGTAGAAAGCCACCCTCCGGGATCAGGGAGAGTGTGCTGGCCCCTGGGGTCGTACCCGGGGGCTGGAAGTGGAGGGCCACGCCAGGAGATCTGGCTGCTCCGTGGCCCCCTCCCCACTTGGGGACCTTAACTTTCTTGTATGTGAACGTGCTCTCCATCCTCCCGCTGATGGGGAGCACAGGGAGTGGGGGTGTCTGCACCCCTCTGTCTGAGGTTCTCAGGCCGGTGGGCGGGAGCCAGCACATCACTGTGCCGCAGCAGCAGCTCGTGCGGTCTGTGGGAGCCGTTGGCGGCCGTACAGTAAGAGCCATGAAGAAAGGCACACCCTTTCAGCTCGACTGTCTACTCTGGGGGATTCACCTAAGAGAAGAATTAGGCACAAGCAAACAGCTCTGTGCACAAAGGTATTCATCGCCGCTTATCTGTTGTAAAAAACACCGAACCGAACGAGAAGTGACTTAAACGGCCCCAATGGGAACTAGTTGAAGCCACTTTGGTACGGAGCGGTCGTTAAGATAACTGAGAAAGCGATGTGAGGTGAGGAAAGTCTGGGTGGAAAGAGAAGCGTCGCCCGCAGCGTGTACTGAACCGGAGTGCGGAAATACTCTCCCAGGCGCGAGCAAACACGCTCACGGGGGGTGGACAGCGAGCCGGCGCTGCGCCCTCTGGAAGAAGGGGTGAGCCACATGTGGGTTAAATCTGGCCTATTTCTCTCTCACCATGCCGCGTGTGAAACAATTAAACATAGTATTTCTTAGTTGTTTTATATGCAAAAAAAAAAAACTTATGGGAAATCAGTGTCCGCATGTGAATTGGGGGCCTTGTGGCTGCTGCCATTTTGGCGATTCACCCCCACATCAGGTTAGTCTGATGGCTTTACAAGGAGGCTGTGCTGCTTGCACACTCAGGATAGTCAAGCTATTTTCTTTCTGAGAAAGGGGCCCTCGGTACTGTCTTCTTGGCATGCTGCTACTCCTCCCCTCAACTCTGCGCTAACAGGAGCAATCAGAGTCGCTGTGACAGCTTCCTGCGTGAAGGGGGTGTAACAAAAGGAACAAAGTGAACCAATAGAAGGCCCCAACCACATGATTTCCATGTCACCCCGCGAAGGAGAAATGCCATTTGCACATTCCCGAGCAGCGCTGAACTTGGTCTGTGCACGTAAGAAAAGAGATAACGTTATCATGACCTTTTTTCTGCTTTTACCCCCTTTTCTATAAATACCCATGCACATGCTGTGTAGGCGAGTCGTGTGCATTTGCCAGGAGGGCTGTGGCAAGAGGGCTGGACAGCTGGAATCCAGCTGCTTCCTCAAAAATCCCAGCATGGGCAGTGTCTGCTGGGTGCCTGGCAACTTGTGCCAGGGCCTCTCCACCTCGCCAGGCGGCCCTGCCTGCTCCCTCTGCACCCAGTTGCCATGGGAACCAGCATCCTCCAGCTGATAGAGCAGCTGGCATGGTGCCTTTCCTTTTCATTCTATTTGGAGCGTGTTTTTCTTTTCATTTCCTGGGCTCTCAGCCTCCACTCCCCTGGGGCTCACACCATTGGTCAAGGCCATTTGTTGGAGATGAAGTTGAGATTACAGACCCCAGAGCCCTCTGATGCCACTCATGCTCCTGCAGCCCTCCCCCGCCCCGAGCCAACCAGCAAGCTCCACCCTGTGGCCTAAATTCCAGCAGGCCACCGGACCTCTTTCCTCATGGGGGAAAGAAAGAGAAACCCCAAGGTGTGTGTCTCCGGGGAGGGCGGCCTATTCTGGGGGTGTCTGTGAGCCTGCCCTGGCTCACAGTAGTGACCTGGCTGCCGTCTGCTGCTCCCCGAGAGGAAAAGGAGGTCTCGTGCGTGCAGACCTGGCCCCGAGGCCCTGTCGGGGTGCTGTGTGGGTGGACCTGGGTCGGCACTTCAGGCTCATTAGCCTTTGGTTCGTGGGGACAGAGTGGGGCTCGCCTGGCAGGTGCCTTTGTCCTTTCCGCCCCCCCCCCCCCCCCGAGCAGGGTGGACATCATGGGAAGAGCTACTCAGAGGTGCAGTTTCTCCCCTAGCTCTGCAGGGGAGTCCCACTTAAGAGGCCCAGGGACGCTGAAATGACACCCCTGCTGATAAAAATGGAACCCTGCCGCCAACAGGGACAGGAGAGAGCGCAAGCCACGGCCTGTTCCACTCCTCCGTCTGTTTCCCAGAAAGAAAAGGGAAGGCTGTTCTCTCCGGCCCAGAAGGGGCTGTGAGCTCCTGGGCCCGGCCTGGGGGGTGGGGGTTGGGGGTGATGCTGCTGAGGACTCGACCTGAGCCCAGGACACGGACTCTGTTCTAAGTGTGTCGTGACATTTGAGATCCGCCCCCCTGCCCCCACCTGTCTTTGATGGAGGAGTCACTTTTACCCCCTCTTGTCTCTCGCCTCTGTGGGCTGCTGTGAAACTGCTGAGAAAATCTGGAGCCCAGGACGCTGGATGTCTTCTCTTTGGATTATGGAGCTGTGAGTTCTAGAATGTGCTTTTCTGGGGGGGGTGGTGCCTTACTGGGGTGAGCCCCAGCGCTCACCACACCTCAGCTCAGCCCGCCCTGCCCCACAGCGGGGCCTGCAGGGGACATCTTGTCTCTGGGCCCCAGGCTGGCTTCCTCTCACAGGCTCTGAAATCAGGTGTATTTTCCCCCTGTGGTGTGTGTGGGTTGAGTTGTATCCCCCAAAGGTCACATGTTAAAGTCCTAGCTCGGGGACCGTGTGCCTTCATTTGGACACAGGGTCGTTACCGACGTGCTCAGCTAACACGGCCAATGGGAGCAGGGTGGCCTCTAATTCACTAGGACTGGTCTCCTTTTTAAAAAGGGAACATTGGACACAGGCACAGCTGGGGGCCTTTCTCCCTGACCCATGTGAAGATAGAGACGGGAGTAATGTCACTACAGTCCAGGGAACCCCGAGGATTGCCGGCACCGCCAGGGCTGGGAGAGGCCTGGGACAGAGCCTGCAGGGGAGCGTGGCCGTACTGACACCTTGATGACAGACCTCTGGCCTCTAGAACTACGACAGGATACATTTCTATTGTTTTAAGCCCTCCAGTTTGTGGTATTTTGTTATAGCAGCCACAGGAAACTCATACAACTTGGACAACATCCTGTTCTTTCTCCTGCAATCTGACCCACAGGCCAGAAAGCCCACCGTGAGCGGCACACCCTTCCTGTCCCGCCTCGCTTCTACCGAGGGCGGGCGGGAGGTGGAGGAATGAGGGTGCTGGGCCGTGGCAGGGGTGAACCCGCGAGGCTGGGCTCAGGATCTGCCCTGGCGCTTTGAGCACGTGGCATTAGGTCATGGGAGAAGGGACAAGAGGCCACAGATGTCTAGTGCTCTGTGGGCTCTGTGGACAAAGCTGTTTGTGGGTGAGTGATGCCCACAGAGGTGCGAAGGAACCAAGGGGGCACCATTCCAGCTCAAGAGACACACCCTCTGGGCAGGGGCTTCTCCCGCCCACTGTACAGACCAGGGGCAGAAGCAGAGCCAAAGACCAGAACTCAAGCTGAGTCCTCTTCCCTCCGATCCTGCTGGGTGACTGAAAAGGCCACCTGTGCTGGACCCACATCCCCTTCCAAGGTGACCTGCTCCACCTGGCCCTGGGCAGAGGGCAGCTGTGCCAGGTGGCACCACACTGGGCTACCGTCTGAGGCCAGTCAGAGAAGAGATGCGGCTAAGCATAACCAACTGGGCCTGGGCAATCGGGCAGTAGGACTGGCCACAGGATGGAGGTCCGGTGTGTGGCGGCTGGGGCACACGGATAGCCGGAGGGCTAGGCTGAGCCATGGAAGTCCTGAGCCAGGGTGACACCATGACAAGGGTCAGGTCAGGTCTGAGCGTCCTTCAGCTGCCACACCAGGTCCCAGCCCCGGGGGCCCAGCCCTGAGCAACTGCAGGACTGTTACTTGTCACACGGAGGACGCCTCCTGTCCCCTATGGAGCTCCCGCTATGGGGTGGCGAGGATGAATTATTCTCCGTTTCCTGTGGTCACAAATTCCTCTGCCCTGACTCCCCAGATCAAATGGGAGGAGACACCCTGAAATCCAAAGGAGCTGCCACGTCAGCAGGACATAAAGGTGACCTGGTCCCTGTAGGACACATGCCAACAGGGCTCTGAGCTGTCAGGCCCAAGCCCACCTGAGGCCACCAGCCCCGCCGGAATCTGATGGACTGAGCGCGAAGATCCGGGATCCCTTCACCTCCTGCCCCTGGACGACCCTTTAACACAGCCCCCTCCCCTCTGGTAAGCAGGCTGCACTCAGCGTTTTAAAACAGGGAGAGACTTCCAAACCATCAGGTGACTGTTTGTAAGAAGCTGGCACACGGGCAGGGCTGCCCTTGGGTGCATTAGTCCCCATGAAATCCCGCCAGGCCCTCCTGTCACCTCTGCAGCACTTAGCCGTGTGGTGGCTGGGGGTGCGGCCACGGTATCACCACGCGGTCTCCAGGGCGGGAACTCCTCGGGGCGGGAAGAGAATCCAGCAGAGCAGGCTGGTCCCTGGGAGCAGAGCCCTCCACAGCCCACCCAGTAAGTGCTCATAGCGCGAGCATCTCTGCCCTAAACATGAGCATCTGCCGTGACTACGGTTCCGGGAGAGGGTCCTATTGTACGAAAAACCCACTTTCGAGGGGGCGTAACGAAGACTGGGGTCTTTGCTCACAAATTTCGGCTCTACGGGGGCACGTGGGGATGGACCCCTTGTTCGGCAGGACACGGGACTCTGAGCCCAGGACAGCTGGGGGCCTTTCTCCCTGACCCATCAAAGGGGACGTCCGCCCAGGAGGGACCTCTGGGGCACCAGGACACTTGTCTCCTGGAAGCCAAGAGCCTTTTCGTTTTATTGTTCCTGTTCTTAAAACACTAGGGCAGGGGTGGGCAAACTTCTTGACTCGAGGGCCACAATGGGTTCTTAAACTGGACCGGAGGGCCGGAACAAAAGCATGGATGGAGTGTTTGTGTGAACTAATATAAATTCAAAGTAAACATCATTACATAAAAGGGTACGGTCTTTTTTTTTTTTTAGTTTTATTCATTTCAAACAGACCGGATCTGGCCCGCGGGCCGTAGTTTGCCCACGGCTGCACTAGAGCTAACTTCTTTCAATCTGGTAAGTTAATCCTAACACTGATCTGGAGGCTGATGCCCCTGGATGCGCACTCAGCCTCCAGCCCCCAGGCCACCAGCGTTCTTTTTTGAGCAGAAAGCGCTGCGGTTGAAGAGCAAATCCCACCAGGAGCAGGGCTGCCTCCAACAGCCAGAGCTGGATCGGGCGCCCCAGCTGTGCTTCTGGGAAAGCGAAGGCCAGAGGCTCCCTGCCTTCGCCCATTCAGAGCACCCTGCCCCGCTGTTCACCCAGCACCCGGCGCAGACCTTACCTGTTGCTTCTGGCTGCCAGTTCCTCCCTCATCTTTTTAATGTCACTCTTGCATTTCTCAATCTCCACCACTTTCAGTCCTTCCACTGGTGGCAAAGAGAAACAAGGGGGTTACCATGGATACACAGAGAGGCTCTCGCAAGGCTGCTCAGTGGGGGCCGCCGCCTGACTCAGCGCAGTGGTTCCCACTCCTGCTCAGGCTGCCGACGTTCCGGTCGGTCTCTCCGCCTACACTCGGCTCAGCCACAACTGACTCTGAGATTGTAGGCCTATCCTGCGGCCAAGTGTGGGCTGTCCCCTTCATCTGTGGGTTTCTACAGGATGAAGTCCTTCTCCCTGCTCCCTGAATCTTGACTTTTCTTGCACCCACTTCTAGTTTCTCTCTCCAGACCCCTAAGCATGAGTTGAGGATATAGGACAAAGAAGTCTCTTATCCAGAAGAAAAGAAATGGGGGGGGGGGGGCATTGCCCCAGGACATTAAAATGCAATGGGCTCAATGGGCAAGACCACAGCCTTCCCAGCAAGGGTTCACATTTCATTTAAGGTTAAAGCTTTGCACTAAGGTCCTCCCGAAGCAGTTCACCAGGAGGGCCGGAAACGGGTGAGAAATGAACAGGCAGCGTTCAGGATGGGCAGGCCTGGGAGGGACGGCATTGCTGGAGTCCCCTGGCACAGGTGAGCCCGAAAAGCCAGGATGCAGTTTTCATCTAAGAGTGAGCTGGGGCAGCCCAGCCAGCGTGGCTCAGTGGTTGAGTGTTGACCTATGAACCAGGAGGTCAAGGCACATGCGCGGGTTGCGGGCTCAATCCCTGGTGGGGGCCATGCAGGAGGCAGCCGATCAGTGATTCTCTCTCATCATTGATGTGTCTCTTTCTCTCTCTCTCCCTCTCTCCCTCTCTCTCTCTCTCTCTCTCTCTCTCTCTCTCTCTCTCTCTCTCTCTCTCTCTCGCTTTGTCTCTGAAATAAAAAAGTGAGCTGGGGCTTAGGCCTCCAAGCCCGCGTTCAACATTCAGCCGTTCACTCCGGCAGAATGGCTGCTGGCTGCCAGAGGCAGGCGGCTTTGAAGAGGCTTTTTGATTAGAGTCGGTTACAAGAAATGAAAAGACTCTGTAATCACACCTCAATTTTTATGCAAAACGACATGGCCACAGACACTCTATTCCCCTTTTCATCCAGAGCAGCTGTGAATGTGGCTAAAAGTCAAGCGCTGTGATTTCCTTCGCAGTTCCTCCCACCCCAGGAAGTGCTGGGCTCTAGAGCACGCGTTGGGGGGCCTCTCCAAGGGCGGCGCCAGGGCAGCTGGGCTGGGACCATCCCCTCCCTGGGCAGGCTTTCCAAAGATGCCCAGGCTCGGGGGCCAGATGGGGGCAAGGCTGTGTGAAAACACTGCTTCCTTCTGCCCAACGTGACCGGAGTCTGGAGGATCTGATACTCAAATCTGGTGCCGGTGCCTTGCTTCTGGGCCATGCCTGGGACTCTCTCCCGCCTCAACCAGGACATGGGACCGAAGTCGGGGGCCTTAAATGCCAGTGGATGGAACCAGCGAGGTGGCCGGCCGAGGCCAGATGGGCTGCCGTGGGGTGTGTTTCTGCTCACTCACTAAGCGCACACACCCTTCCTCGTGGCGTGGGGTGTTCTTAGCTCTTCCTTGCATCACAGGGCTGGGTAGGAAGTCAGTGAAAGCCACGGGACCTCTTCCAAGAAAGGACACATCGGTACACACCCTCATGGTTTGCACTTGGACAGGGCGCCGTGGGGAGGCGAGCCTGCGTGTAGAGCCCGCGGGGGAGCTGCGCCCGGCCAGCCAGGGACCATGGTTACACTCATTATGCTGCAACCATCGTTTTATACAAAATAGCAGGTGGTAATTGTGGAAACCAGGAAATACGGGGCATCTCAAAAAATATTTTAAAATCTATCTACGGTCTTACTGGGGCAAAAAACAACCCATTTCATATTAAACATATTGGCATTTCTCCCCCTCCCCCTCAGCCCCCTTGCATTCTAACTATCTATCTACTCTTCATTTTAAAAAGACAAACTTAGGACCATGCTACTTGTTCTGTTTTCTCACTTGCTTTTCTCCCATCGTCAATAGCAGCCGCCTCCCAGCATCCATATGGGAGTGGACGCAGATCAGAGTCCCTGGCCACGTGTTGGGGGTGATGTTCAAGTTAAGCCTTTTGGGCCACACAGTATATCACTCCTTTGAATCCTGCCGATTCATGGCAATTACCTTTACGAAGGAAGAGCCTGGTTGCCACGGAAATTGATAGTGAGTCACAAGATGGCAAAAGTCGTGCATTAATCAATGGAAGAGAATAACATCATCTCAGCCCACTTGCCCCATGTTTGGATTAAAGAGCTGAACGTGGACTGAGACGGTCACAGAGCGCGAGGCGGGCCAGGCACCAGCAGACCGGGGGCCTGACTCCCAGTCCTTCCCCAGATACCAGGATGCCTTTGGAAGACTGCACAGCCCACCTCCTGGACCCCTCCCAGCCCTGCCTGCCCCTGCCTGAGGAGGGAGAAGGCCCCTCGAGGAGCTGGGGCCTCCCCCGTGAAGAGTCCTACACAGACTCGGGGGAGCCTCCAGTTGAGATTGCACATCAGTTTCATACATGCGGCCCCACGCGTCCATCTCGAACTTTAAACACAGGTGGGCTCAGACCAGAAACTCAAACTAAAGCGGAAGCGCCCAGCACCCCCAGCACTTGGCTTATTCTCCCTCTCCAGGCCCGGCCGGGCAGGCGGGTGCACAGGCTGAGCACACCTGGCCCCTGGCTGTCCTCATGCGGACTGTGGATGTGCTCCGTTGGGAGGTCACAGGGCACTGTGAGAGAGAACCTTTAAGGATGATTTTCTAAGAGGGACACTGGCTTTGGGGACTCAGCCGGCAGGAGCAGAATGGGACCCGGAGGCAGCTCTGCTCCACGCTGGCCCCTCCCAGAGCTGGTGGAAGAAGCCCGTGTGTGTGTGTGTGTGTGTGTGTGTGTGTGTGTGTGTGTGTGTGTGGCCCCCTTCAGCTGCAGAGCTGGTTAAAGCTGTTTAAAGCCATGTGAGCCGTTGCAACACTTCCTCCAAGGACTTTGGTAAAGAATTCACATAAAGCACATTTCCCGACTGACAAGGAGAAAAGCAAGGTTGGTTTCAGCTTCGGGTCCCCTCGATTGTTTGCATGAGCCTCGGGCCGGCTCTCCCTGTGGTTAGGTTTTAGTCCAGGCCCTGGGCACAGGCTGCCCTGTGCCCATCCTCAGGGACCCTGGCGCAGGGACCCCCCTGCACAGTGGCCAGTGGCCAGTAAACCAGGAAGGAAGTGAAACCCTTGCAATGCTTCATCGCTGACCAGGAAGTGAGTGAGGATCTGGGTGTCCTGTGTTTACAAAATAATCTCTAAGTTGAGAGGGACCCCAGACTCCTTGAGGAAGGCAAACATTTCACATGAAAAGAAAGAAAAGCTCTTAAAGTGAATGAAGGAAGTGGGGAAACTTACGTTTGATTCAGGAGAATGATATGTTTGGAAGGTGAAAAAAATAAAAAAGCAGGAAATTCCATTGAAAACAAGTCAAACAATGTAATGTTGCCTACAGATGGCCGGTGCTGGCTGGCCGCCTGCTCGAGCTCCAGAAGCAGAAAACAGCTCACGATGACCAGAGAAAGTGTGTGTGCACGTGGCCACGGTGCGTGGATGGGTGTGTGTCTGTGCATGTTTATACGTGTCTCTGTGTTTACAAGTATGTGCATGCGGGGGGGTTATGCATGTGAGTGCATGTGGGTATGTCTCAGTGTCTTTATATGTGCATGTGTGCATGTGTGTGTGTGTGCGTGTGTGTGTGAGCCTATACCTGGCCTGGGCCCAGTGGAGTGCTGGCAGTCGGTTCCTGGCAGCCTTCCCAGTCCAGCGGCCCAGGCCAGCTTGTCTGGCAGATGGCTGGGTCAGGATTGCCCTCTGAGTAGCGGGATGACCCGTTCCCCAAGTGATCTGCACGAGAGGTCCAGCTGCAGGACCCCTCTCCTCAAAGGCCTCCCCTTCCCCTTCCAGGGTACCTGCCCCGTCCTTGGGGTGAGGCACTGCTGTCTCCGGAGGCTCTGTGGAATGCATCCCCCTGGGGATGGCGCAGGCACGATGTCCCTGCCACTCTGTGCTGGTGCAGAGGCTGCTGGAGGCTGGGAAGGTGGCCGCCAGAAGCACCAGGAGAGGGCCAGCCCAAAGCCAGGTGAAGTTCAAGGAGGTCGAGAGCCCTTCTGAGTCATGGCCACATTCCTGATGGGAGGCGGGCAGCCAGGAGATGGGGAAGCCAGGGGCTGGTGGGAGCAGAGGCTCCCAAGTGTGGCTGTGGGGGCCCACAGCCAAACCCACAATTCTTAGACCATTTCCCATCTCCCTCCCTGCTCCTGAGAGGGCGGCTTCCTCCATCCCATTCCTGCACCCTGGGCCTTGGTGCTAGAAATGAGCACAGCCAGTAAAAACCCCAGTAACTTCGACCTAGCAGCGAGCCTGAGCTCGGAGGGTGGAGGTGTGATGCCTCTTACAGGCCAGCATGTGAATCTGCAGGGTTTCTGTGGTTTACCCAAGGGCCCTGCAGGGAGATGCCTTCCTGCCAACGAGCAAGCCGGTTCTGGAGAATTCTGGGCCTCAGACAGGCCAGGGAAGAAGGTCCTATGGGCTGCGTCCTTTAATGGTCCTTCATTCACATGGCACTTGAAGGCAAAATAAAAACGCTTCTTGGCCTGATCATCGTCTCAACGGCCAGACGCCAGAAGCCACCCAAGTTGAGGCCAACATAGATCTCTGCAGGGGTTTTCAAAACTCCTTCACGGCCTCTTCAACTTGCCTGTTTGCAAGTGGTGGTGGGCGGTGGGCGCTGGAGCGGCTTCCGTGTGGGGAGGGGGAGATGGGCGAGGGCAGGAGGAAGTGGGAGGAGCTGGAGGGCAGGAGGCCGAGCAGGCGGCACCGCTGCCCTGGACATTGGCCCGCCCGGTGGTGACCGACTTTCCCCACCGTCAGTGTCGACGGGGACTCAGCAGCGAACGTTCATTTTCTGTGTTCTTTGGCTGAACCCCTTCCCGTGTTTGGAAATGCCAAATGCTCACTGCAGTGGCTCACATCCCAAAGATGTGCTCACATCCTAAATCCTGGGATATGCGAATGGGACCTTATTTAGAAACAGGTTCTTGGCAGAGTCCTCCAGGTGAGGTCATCCTGGATTAGGGTGGGTCTTAAATCCAAAGACAGGTGTCTGTGTAAGAGACAGGCAGAGGGGGCGTGAGCCACAGAGACACAGGGGGGAGAGGCCCTGGGAAGATAGTTTGGAGTGATGTGGCCACAAGCCAAGGCTGGCTGGCAGCCACCGGAAGCCAAAAGAGGCCTGGAACAGATTCTTCCTCAGCCTCTAGAAGGAACCGACCCTGAAGATGCCTTGATTTTGGACTCTGGCCTCCGGAACTGTGGGAGGATTCTTTTTTTGTGGTTTAAGCTTCCCAGTTTGTGGTCCTTTGTCACGGCAGCCACAGGAGACTAATGCACGTTGTCTGGTCTCTCTTGCAGCAAGGGTGTGGGCACATGGTCCCCCTCTGTCCAGAATTTGAACCTGTAGCCGGTACTTGGAGAAGCAGCCTGATGTCTGCAGCAGTGCCCATGGGGCAGGTACCATACGTATGCGGTTCTGATGCGCAGCTCAGCATCCTCACGGAGTCAGCTATGCTGGGATTCCGCGCACCCTTCTTGCTGCAGAGCCCAGCCCTATTCCTGGGCCCTCCTGGTGACCATGGGAGCTCCCCAGAATCCTTTTATCCTTTTGAAAAAGCCCCTTTACTCCTGGCTGGTGTGGCTCAGTGGCTACAGTGTTGGCCCAAAGACTGCAGGATCTCGGGTTTGATCCTTGGTCAAGGGCACGAACATGGATTGCAGGTTCAATCCCCGGGCCGGTCAGGGCACGGTGCATGCAGGAGGCAACCAATCGATATGTCTCTCTCACATCAATGTTTCTCTCTCTCTGCCCCCCTCCCTCCCTTCCACTTTCTCTAAAAATATCTTCATATGAGAATTTGAAAGAAAAGAACGAACCCCTTTTCTGTTCAATGCAGCCACAACCGGTGGCTGCCGGCAGCCTGCTTCCTAACCTAAGTTCTCAGGGCCCCTTGTGGGCGCCCCAGCCAGGAGTGGAGGAAGGTGACATGTCACAGAAGGGCAGGCGGCAGGCGGCGAGAGCAGCCCCGCCAGGAGCCTGGTGCTGGTCCCAGGCTTATTTACTTTTCTAATTTGCTGAGTGCATTTGAGCAAATCACTTATCTCTTTGTGGCTCTTCAATGGGGAAAAATAAAACTGCTCTGAAGCTGCCATGGTGAAAGGATTTCAAAAGTGTCATCGCCCTTGGAGAAGTATGACCGTGCGAATCACGTTTCACGTGACTCAGGCGAATTGGCTTTTACATGCTCCTCAATTTCCTTTCCCCAAAACACCCAAGCAATTCACGCCAGGTAATGAAAGGTGCCATCCAGCCGAGTCCCGCCAGTATGAATCAGCCAGGCAGTGTCCAGGACGCAGCAGCCCCGCTGGCTTCCGGTCGGGGTTTGCTTAGTCATCCTCCAGGTGAATAGATAAGGTGCCTTGAACCGCTGCCCTTCGCCTTGACATTGACCAAGAGCCTTCCTTCGCGTTGGGAGTTGGACGGGGCGCGTGGGGCTCCAGCCCAGCTCCTTACGCACCGAGGAGGACACAGAGGCCGCTTTCCTCCAGAATTCTAGCCCCATGGCCACCGGCTCAGGACGGGACCACCCTCCTTGCTCACCAGCGGGGTTCCTGCTTTCCTTGCGGTGACAGGGAACCGAGAGGTAACGGCAGGGGACACGCTCCCCCCAAACTGTGACACCGCGGAGTGTGGGTCCGCGGGACCTCATTTCCTTGAAGGAGACCCACAAGGTATTCACAGAAGCTCCTGTCCGGAGAGGCGTGCTCGAGGCGTCCCGCTCTCACCCTGTGCTCCGCGGGCACGGCAACACGTGACCGTGTACTCGTTACTTTTATTTATTTAATTTAATTTTTAGAAATATATTTTATTGATTTTTTTTTTACAGAGAGGAAGGGAGAGGGATAGAGAGTTAGAAACATCGATCAGCCCTAACCGGTTGGCTCAGTCGATAGAGCGTCAGCCTGCGGACTCAAGGGTCCCGGGTTTGATTCTGGTCAAGGGCATGTATGTGGGTTTCGGGCACATCCCCAGTAGGGGGTGTGCAGGAGGCAGCTGATTGATGTTTCTCTCTCATCGGTGTTTCTAACTCTCTATCCCTCTCCCTTCCTCTCTGTAAAAAATCAATAAAATTATTTCTTTTTTTAAAAAAGAAACAGGGATCAGCTGCCTCCTGCACACTCCCCACTGGGGATGTGCCCGCAACCAAGGTACATGCTCTTGACCAGAATCAAACCTGGGACCCTTCAGTCCGCAGGCCGACGCTCTATCCACTGAGCCAAACCGGTTAGGGCTGTACTTGTTACTTTTAAAACTCGCGGGTTAGTCACTGCTCGAACCTTTGCTAACATAACATTTAGGCATTTCACAGAGAAAACGCCTCACACTTCCCTGCACCTCCCTCCCCTGGTTTATGAGGTGAAGTTAAACAGAGGTCAAAGGACATGTAAGCGAAAGGAAAACCGAAGCTGCACTCACATTCCACGCGTTTCTCTAGCACTGCCAAGTGATTTGCGACTTCAGCTTTGAGTTCGTTGATTTTAAATGCTCTAGGAACGAAAGAAAAAAAGAAAAGCCATAAGCCATACGTTTCTCAAAGTTAAAATGGGCTCAGCAAACAGCTGCTGAATCACGGGCAGGGGGAGGTATGCGAGTGGGCAGGTGAGGGGGGCACAAAGATGCCAGGAGTTGCTTTTAAGGAATTAGCACAGTCGGGGGTACAGGGGAGGAAGGAGAGACACTCTCAGACTATCTGGGGGTGTATTTCCCAAGAGGGACCACAGCAGGTCCTTACCAGAGAGGATGTTTCCTTCCATGCCTGGGAGTGAGCCCGTGCCCCGAGGGGTGCTCTGCTCTCAGCTGGATGCCCGCGCCCCCCCCCCCCCGGGCACACACCACCTCAGGGCACTGGGTGCCCTCTCCAGGCTCCAACCCAGTCAATAAGACAATTCTTGGGCTTCAAGAAAGTACCACCCAGCCCAGCCAGAGTGGCTGAGTGGTTGAGCGTCGATCTATGAACCAGGAGGTCATGGGTTTGATTCCCGGTCTAGTCGGGGCACATGCCCAGGTTTTGGGCTCGTGCAGGAGGCAGCAGATCGATGATTCTCATTATTGATGTTTCTCTCTCTCCCTCTCTGAAATCAATAAAAATATATTTAAAAAAAAAGAGAGTACCACCCATATGGCCTCTCCCCATTTGAACTCCCCTGGGCGGTGAGATACCACAGTGACCAGAACGGGAGGACAGCCCAGAATGCAACGGTCAGTAATATTTTTATTACTGATTTCAGAAAGGAAGGGAGAGGGAGAGAGAGAGAGAGAGAAACATCAATGATGAGAGAGAATCATTGATCAGCTGCCTCCTGCACGCCCCCTACTGGGGATCGAGCCCACAACCCGGGCATGTGCCCTTGACCAGAATCCAACCTGGGACCCTTCAGTCCACAGGCTGATGCTCTATCCACTGAGCCACCAGCTAGGGCAGAACGCCCATTTAAAAAATGGTCTCAGTGCTTGTAGCCGGAACTCCGAGTCCCAGCAGAGCCCGTCGAGAAAAATCTCGGCAACATGGGCCCTCATTCTAACAGCGCCCACCTCACACGGTCTGGGACATAAGGTCTTTGCTGTAAGTGTTTCCTGGACCCCACCCCACGGGCTCCCCCTGCCGCCGAGAACAGGCACACGGCTCCGGAGGACACGGCTCTGGCGTCTGTACCTCGAGAACTGCTCTGCAACCTGGGTCAGCACGCTCTGGATTAACTCTTCTTTCTCTGCAGAGCGAAAAAGAAAGACAGATGGAAAAAGGAGAGGGGTGCGGGTCCGCCGGCCTGACCCACCTGCTGTGGGCACGTGTACCGATGCCGCGGCGAGGAGCTACCCGCCTCACCCGGATGGAAGCGCCGACGCCCGTCAGCACCCCAGGACCTCTCTGTCCACCTCCAAATGCTCTTTCCCCCTGGACTGCTCCAGGCCACTACCCTGCCTTTTAATGCCTCTCAGCAGAGCGGCCCTCCCATCCCAGGAACCGGCTATAAAAGCAGGCGGGACTGGGTCTCTAACTAGGGGATGTTTTCACAGAGTTCCCTGGTTCATTTTATGAGGGCAATTACCATGACAGAGCGGGTTCAAGGCCTATTTCCAGCGCAAAACACGGTGTTCTCTTCTCAGGGCAGGTCCCGAGAGCGGAAGCAGGCGAAACCTGTCCCTTTGTTGCCTGGCACACAAAACAGGCCGGGCGGCTGGATTACAAGGCACAGGCCCTGGCTGAACTTGACCTGCCTGGTTTCCTGTTTCCTGCCTGGCCCATGCTGGGTACCTCTCGGGAAGGCGTAGATGCCCACAGACCTGTCTCCCCCTGCAGTCTACGCTCGTGGACGGGGAGCGATCGCTTCTTGGCTGCAGCTGCCCATCAGTTCACGCCCCTACACACTGAGAGCCTACGTGAGACTTAGCGAGACTCTGCGCTAACCCTTCACTAAAATCAAAAGAATCCTGCCGAGCAAACAAAAAATCCTAATAATCGCCCGGCTGGTGTGGCTCAGTAGTTGAGCTCCAACCTATGAACCAGGAGGTCACGGTTCGATTCCTGGTCAGGGCACATGCCTGGGTTGTGGGCTTGATCCCCGGTAGGGGGCGTGCAGGAGGCAGCCGATCCATGATTCTCTCTCATCATGGATGTTTCTCTCTCCCTCTCCCTTCTTCTCTAAAAAAACCCCAAAAACATCACAATAATCCAACTGGGCAATGGGGTTCTGAAGCTGGAAATGCTCAGATGCTCTGACCTAGTGTCTCCATTTCTAGGAAATACTCATGTCTGTGCACAGCGCTGGCCACCAGTGCTATTTCACATGGTGAAAGCTGTAACCGCCTATATTTCTATCGAATGGACATTAAATAAGTGATGACACATCCATACTCTGGGATCCTATTCTGTTATTAGAAATAACATCTTGGAAAATGTTCATGTCTATTGTTAAAGCAAAAAAAAAAAAAAAAAGGATTGTAAAACAGTATGATCCCATATTTGGAGACACTGGGAGGATACAGTTTGAAATAATAATGGTAGTTATTTCTTGGTTGTAAGACTTTATGTAAATTTTATTTTCTATTTTTGCTTCTCTGTATCTTATGAATTTAGGTAATACGCATGTTTATTTCATTTAAAAAATTAAAGAAACTAATCAATCTAAATTAACCTAATGAAAGGGTGGACCAAGAGACCAAAGGTTCCCTCTGGCGTAAGTATTCGATGTCTTGATGCGAAGAAGAAAAACGACGTTTTGTTATGTTTCTGGAAACTATAAGAGTGAAAATGTCAACCAGGAAACTTTCATGGAGCTGTGTGTTGAGCTGCTGCCCGATCCAAGGCCCCACACTTCCGGGGGGGCTCACACCCCCAGGGGACAAAATTGGCGACTCCATCGATGGGAACCACCAGTGCGAAGGCCTCACAGGCCTCCTGGTGAATCAGCAGGACTGCCGATCACTTATCCTGAAATCTCTGGCAAAAGTAATAAATCACTCACGTAACCTCCAAGAGTTAATGATCTCAAAGTCTTGAGATAAATTTAGAAGGCCATCAAACAATTGACATTTATAGACTGCTCCACCTAGCAGTAGTGGGACACGCATTCTTTTCAGGTGCCTTCCAAGATAGACCACATCCTGGACCGTAAGGAAAACCTCAACGAACGTAAACGAACTAACACCATAGAGCGTATGTTCTCCGGCCACAAGAGAATCAAGCTAGAAACCAGGAACAGAAATATAGCAGGGAAGCTTCCAAACACTTGGGAACCAAACAGCACACGTCTAAGCAACCCATGGACCAAAGAGGAAGTCTCTGGAGAAATTTAAAAAGGCATCAAACCAAATGAAAATGAAAATATAGCACAGCGAAAGGTAGCTGTGAGACATGGCGAGGGCAAGGCGGAGAGGACATTTATAGCACCCAATGCTTACATTCGAAGAGAGGAAAAGTCTCCACTCCATAATCTAAGAGCCCAAAAAAAGCAAAGCAAAATAAATCCTCAACAATAGCAGGAGGAAGGAAGGAAATAATAAAGAGCAGAAATCAGTTAGATGGAAACCGGAAAAACAATGTAGAACATCAATGAAAGGAAGAGCTGGTTATTTAAAAATATCAGTAAATTGACCAACTTTGAGGAAGACGGACAGAGACACACAGAGAAGACACAGATCACCAAAATCAGAACGAGAAAGGGAAGATCACTCCAGACCCTCCAGGCACCAGAAGGATTATGAGGGAACACTACGGACAACGTCACACACACACATTTGACACCTCAGGTGGCAATGGACCAATTCCTAGAAAAGCATGAACCACCGCACTCATCCAACATGAAACAGGTAGTCTGAACAGCCTGTCACTATTGAGGAAATTACATTTCTAATTGAAACCCCCCAAGAAATTATCAGGTACAGACGGTTTCACTAGAGAACTTCACCAAACATTTGAAGAAGAAGAATTAAGACAAATCTAAACAACTTCTTCCAGAAAACAGAAAAGGAGGGAACACGTCTGGATTCATTTTATGAATTGTTTTAGCTATTGTTAAAGCAAAAAAAAAAAAAAAAAAGATTGTAAAACATAACTTGATACCAAATCCAGACAAAGACAACCAAAAAAGATAATACAGACCAATATCCCTCATGAATACCAATGTAAAAGCCTTTAACTAGCAAATAGAATTCAGCAATATATAAAAATAATTATACATCGAGATCAAGCAGAGTTTATTTCAGGGATGCAAGGCTGGTTTAATATTAAAAAAATCAATGTAGTCAACTATATTAACAGGCTAAAGAAGAAAAAATTATACGATCCTATCAATTCATAAAAAGCACTTGGAGAAATTCAACATCTGTTCATGATAAAACCCTCAGGAAAACAGAAAAAGAGGGGAACTTCTTCAAGTTGATAAAAAAATCTGCAAGAAACTTATAGCTAACTTATAGCTTATGGCGAAAGACCGAATGCTTTCTCCTGAGGTTGTGACAAAGCAAGGATGTCTCTCACTGTTCTCGCTCAGCACAGAGCTGGCAGTGCCAGCTGGCGCAACAAGGCAAGACAAGGAAGTAAAAGGCATGCATATCAGAGAGGAAGAAATATAACCGTCCCTGTTTGCTGATGACACAATTGCCTACATAGAAAATTCCACGGGATCTATAAAAAACCCTCTTAGGACTAATAAGTGAGTTCAGCAAGGTCACAGGATACAAGATATACACACGCAATCAGTTGTATTTACATATATGACCAATGACCACATACACACTGAAATGAAACCACAAGGCCACTTACGAACACTTCAAGAACCTTAGGTGCAAGTGTAACAAAGCATATGCAGAAGATGTATGCTGGAAACCACAAAATATCCAGGAAAGAAATCATAGAAGATATAAATAAATGAGACCTACCTGGAAGCTTCAACATAGTAAAGATGTCAATTCTCCCCAAATTGACAGACAGGTTTAACACAATGTCTATCAAAACCTCAGCAGGATTTTATTTTTGTAGAAATAGACAAGATTTTCTAACATTTATATGGAAATAAAAAGGAACTAGAATAGCTAAAACAATTTAGAAAAAGGAGATAAAATGAGAGGAATTGCCAATCTAATTTTAGGACCTAATATACAGCCACAATAATCAAGACGGTGTAATATTGGGAAAGATACTGAGGGACAGACACAGAGGTCAATGGAGCAGAACAGATAACCCAGAATCATATCCACACAAATATGCACAACTGATTTTGATCCGTGTCACAGTGGAAGGGACTTGGGTGTGGCTCTAAGAGGGGAGTGTGAGGGACCCTGTGGGATGGGACATACTGTGTCTGGACTGTATCAGTGTCAACAGCCCGATTGTGGTATCTCACTGTAGCTTGCAAAGATGTGATCATTGTGGGAAAACGAGTAAAGTCTACATGGGCTCTGTTCGTCTTTTTTCTTACCACTGTGTGCATCTTTAATTATGTTAAAACGAGAGGCCTGGGGCACGAATTCATGCACCAGTAGGGTCCCTTGGCCTGGCCTGTGGGATCAGGCTGAAACCGACTCTTTGACATCCCCCAAGGGGTCCCAGATTGTGAGAGGGTGCAGGCCAGGCTGAGGGACCCCACTGGTGCATGATTGGGGTTGGGAATAGATGTGGGAGGTTGGCCAGCCAGGGAGGGACCATGGGAGTGCTTCAGGGTGTGTCCAGCCCTTCTTGCTCAATCCCGATCGGCTGGACCCCAGCAGTAAGCTAACCTACCGGTTGGAGTGTCTGCCCCCTGGTGGTCAGTGCACGTCATAGCGAGTGGTTGAGCAGCCTTAGCAGATCATCAGCATATTACGCTTTGACTGGTTGAACGGCCGACAGGACGACTGGACACTTAGCATATTAGGCTTTTATTATATAGGATAAAAAGTTTAATGGAGGAGTCTTTTCAACAGGCAGTGCTGAAGCAATTGAACACTCACAGGCAGAAAAATGAGCCTCGATCTAACCCTCAACACAGTTTATCTAAAAATTGATGCAAAATGGACCACAGATAAAAACATATAAAATTTTAACATTTTAGGAAAAAAAACAGGAGAAAATCTTCAGGATCTTGGGCTATGCAGGGAATTCTTAGATTCGACACCAAAACCACAGTCCATACAAGGAAAAATGGATAAACTGGATTTCATCAACATGGAAACTTTAGTTCTGAGAAAGATCATGTTAAGACGGTGAAGACACAAGCTCCAGCCTCGGAGA